AGAGAGAGAGAGAGAGAGAGAGAGAGAGAGAGAGAGAGAGAGAGAGATTAGTTCATGTGCTGTGCAGAGAGAGGCAGATCGAAGAGGTGAAGTCTGTGAGGAATGTGCTGAGTGAGGCGGGTGGATTGCTTGCTACCTGGGACCAAGTTGATTTCTGGGCCTGGGCTGCTGCCAAGACCCATTCCTGTTTCTGCATCCGTCCTGTAGCTGTGATCTGTGTTGTATCTGTGGCTCCTGATACCACTGAAGGCCTAGAGTGTAGGGCAGTGCATAGTTGGTCTTGCCCCTCACCGTCTACAAGACTACTAAGTACTGGCTCTGCCCCCTTACTAGCTGCAGCACTTTGGAGAGCATACCCTGTACCTTGCCTGGGGAACACAGTAAGGATGAAGGTGAGCTAGCACCAAAGTCCTGAGTGTGGAAGGCTGTCCTGAAGACTTGTTTGTCTGTCACGTGGCAGCATAGGTAAGGGAAAGGTGTCCCCTGCCCCTTGCCTTTGTGACTCATCTGCTGCATGCAAAGGAGCTGGCTCTCCCCCTTATCAGCTGCAGTACTCAGGAAAACAGGCCCTTCACCTTGTTAAGGAAGCACAGTGGAGGTAACCTTGTTGAAGAGGATGCAGGTGAATGGCCCACCCCAAGAACTTGAATGAGGGAAAACTAGTGCCACCGCTCATCTGCCATATTGTAGTGTGGATGTAAGAGACTCCCCTATCCCTCACCACCTGTGACACTTGGAAAAGCTGACCCTGAAATCATGAGAGTGGGATAGTTGGTCCTCCCCACTCTAGATGCAGCACTCCTGAGAGTGGCCCCTGCAACTCACCTGGGCAACATAGTAGATGTGGCCCTAGTGGTGTAGGTATGAGTAAGATGACCTTGACGGCCTGAGAGAAGAAAAGAACCCATCCCTTGCTCCTTGCTCTGTAGGGCAAACAAACCATGACAAGAAAGGGAGACTAACAGTGCAACTACCCAGGCCCACAGCAAGAGCTATGAGTTTGGCCTACCCCAACATCCATACTACCTATGGTCTGCTGGAGCACATGAAGGTGCCATTCCTACAAATCCAAAGCTACAGGGTCTCCATGACACAGGACAACAACAGGATATCCAAGAAAAGTCCCAATAAAGTCCCAGTATCTATGGTGTAGCTGAAACCAGAGGCCATGAACCAGATCAATTACTCTTTGCAATAATCACTTGCAAGTAAAGGTATACAGACTAAAGGGTATACTGTGTGACTTTCTGTGTTACACTACAACTTCCATTGTGAGATATTCTCTCTCTCTCTCTCTCTCTCTCTCTCTCTCTCTCTCTCCTCTTTCTTATCTCTTAAATTTTATTCAAGAGAGGAAGTTTCAAGGACAGAGGGTGGATGCAAAAGGATGGGGAGATGAATGGAATCAATATGCATGATATGAAAGCCACAAAGAATAAATAAATGTTAACAAAATATATTAAGACTAGCTATAAAATAATCCATAGTCTTTAATAGTTTCAACATTGCTCAAAAGTAAAAGGACAGAGTCTCTTCTGATGCTCATATATTCTCTTAACTGTGAGCTCCATATAACAAAATAAAAAAATGTATGGGTAACATTTTTGTGGTGATAAAAAATGACTGCAATTTCATTTATAAAGGCCAGATAGATGGTTAAGAATTTGAAGCACTGGTTGATCTTCTATAAAACTGGATTTGATTACTAGAATCCACATGGCAGCTAAGGAACATGTATATGTATAGTTCTATTAGACCTGTTGTCCTCTTCCAGACTCCGTTACCATTTCACGCATGTGGCATACAGAAATACGTACAAATAAAATGCCCATTCATATAAAATTAAAAAAATATATTTTAAAAATCAACTAGTAGAAGAAATTGTTCCTTTCATCTTCTGGTTCCTGAAGGAAGAGCCCATAAATGGTGAGGAAAGCATGGCAGCAGATGGACAGAGCAGAAAGATGGTGATCACAGCTTTAGCTACAGTCAGGAAAGGGGAAGGGAGAGAGAGAGAGAGCAAGCACACATCGGAAGTAAGGAGAATTTATAAACTCTCAAAGTCAACCCTCAGACGTTTTTCCTATACCAAAGCTTTACCTTGTAAAGATTCCATAACCTTCCCAAACAGTGCCACCAACTATGGGTCAATTCAAATACGTGGACCAATGGTGGGATACTTTTCATTTAAACCACTGTATTCCACTTCCTGTCCCCCCAGACCTATACTATAGCACAATGCTGTTGTGTTACAAAACTTTTTGTTGGGAAATGTAATACACATGTCTAGTCACCTCAGATAGGAAATTCATGGCAGACCAAAGTACAGCTACCACTAAAGTCCAACTTGGTGAACCAAAGAATTTTATTTGGGTTGCATAGGGTAATATGGGTGAAGTCTTACAGAAGCGAAATGACACAAAGACAGCTGTGTCACCAAAGGTCACCCTAGCAGAGGTGGCAGCTAACAAATTCTGGAAACTTGGAGCACCTTGCACAGTCAGCATTCATTACAACAGTTCAGAAAGTGTTCTATGCATGCAACTCAGTTAATCCAGGCCTCTTCCAGGTAACCTGACTGGTTTTTGCTTCTTCCAGGTAGCAGACCTTGTATCTGAGTCTTCTTTGCTGTTTGTCTTGTCTGAGAGTACTTTGTAGTAGCCTTTTATTGTTTAATCTTAGGAAGGAGAGGCTTAGTGAATCTGATCAGTTTCAAGGACTTCTTGGTGCTGTTTAGAATTCTTTACCATTTTAATGTCCTCTCCTGCTAGAGGGAATATTTCAATTTCTGAGGAAATAGCTGCACAATACTCTACCATTTACTCTGGCTCTTACATTTTTATTTCCCCTCGTCTACAATGATCTCTGAACCATGAGAGAGGTGGCTGCAGATGTTCAATTATGGCCAAGAATTAGTCCACCATGACACAACAGTCACTTGCTGTTTTAGGGTTATACTGCTTTAATGAAACATCAAGACCAAGAGCAAGTTGGTGAGAAAAGTATTTATTTAGTGCACTTTTACACATCACAGTGCATCCTTAGAGGAAATCATGGCAGAACATCAAACAGGGCATGAACCTTGCAAGAGGAACTAATGCAGAGTTGATAGAGCTGTGTAGTAGCTTTCTGGCTTGCTTATGCAATTCTAGTTGATTTTCTAATACAAGGCAAGACCGCCAGCCCAGGAAGTGTCCCACCAACAATGTACTGTGCTCCCCCCATACACATGTGAATGCTACCTTTTGTGAAGCAAACATTAAATTCAATCAGAAGACTCTTGGTCTTACCCATTATTGCTCAGTTACCACTTCCTAATGCATAAACACCCTGCCTGGCATGCCAGTATTTAAGCATGCAAGCTGAGCAGGAATGTTAGTAACAGTTCTCCATCAGAAGCCTGCATAGCACTATGTTACTATTGTGATCAGCCAGCAGATGAGTGCTTTCAAATTCAACCCCAGCTTAGTTTCTCCATGTCCTACAGATAAAGCATGGTCTTCAGCAATAGGGTCATATAGTCTAGTTCTGACATGCAACCAACAACAGTATCAATAACCTTGATGGTAGTTGATCAGGAGCTTTCCTGGTCAACTACTCTTTGGGCAGTAGACCATCCTTGGTGCTGGTATTTCCATTCAATAACCTTATGTACTCTGGGGTATTCTTTTCTATAGTAGGAGGCTGCTTGTTAAATCATGGTTACTCAGCCCCAAAATAATCCCACACAAACCATATTATTTTCAAAACGTTTTGGCCAATAGCTTAAGTATATTTCTGGTTAACTCATATCTTAAATTAACCAATCTCCATCAATTTGTGTATCTCCACTCAGGAGGCTTGTGGATTACTGGGTAAAGTCGCAGTATCTGTCTCCAGGGGGCTACCTGGCTTCTCACTGACTCTGTCTTCTTTCTCCCAGGATTCAGTTTAGTTTGCCCCACCTAGATAAGTTCTGTTTTGCTATAGGTCAAAGCAGTTTCTTTATTAACCAGTGATATTCACAGCACAGAGTGGGGAATTCCATATCACTTTTCAA